TCTCCAGTATTGGCATTTTTCATCTTAAAGGGGAACTCTACTTAAGAATTCTAATATGTTATTTCCATTGTCTAGGAAAGTTCAATCAGTATTTGTGAATACGAGCGACTCTCTCTCAAAGCAAGAAACCTGAGGAGTAAGTCTTAAATTTGTGTTATCAAGTATAAAGTCTGGAGCTGCTTCATAGACAATAAATAGGGCGACAGATTTTGTGAACCCACAGAATGTTTGTTATCTATTTTATACCCAAATGAGCTTTATTCTATTATAGTGGTCTCAGTCCTTAAACGGAGAATGTACATTCCCTTGGGTGGTCTCAGTGTCATCTAGAACAGTGGTTCCCAACTGGTCCAGCTACAGGGTCCTGGTTTCTCCTTAAATCTGGCAGGTGGCAATTAACACAGAAGTTGTCACAGCACATTGTAATCGCATCCAACTCATGTTTAAAAAGAAGATCATGTCACTCCTGTTCAGCAGCAGCTTGACTGGCTTCCTCTTAAATATCGCATTGATTTCAAGATTCTGCCTCTCACGAAACAAGCCCCAAAACTCCTTCATATCTACACACCCCACCTTACCCACACGCTACTCTTAGATCCTCCTCTGCAATCCAACTCACATCACCATCTGCCTGCTTAACTGCTTCTGCTTAAGAGTCTTTAGCCGTTCAGGTTGAGCTATTGGAACAGCCATAAACGGCGCAAATCATGGGCATTTGTGCCTTGCCTCCAGTTTCCTGCCCTCCATCTGGGCAGTACACTGATGCATGATGTCATTTGCAAAGATGGAGCAGCTTCAGACTTTATACTTGGTGACATCACAAGTTTGGCTTTTGGCACTCTGGATTTCAGAGAGATTTTTTCATGTTTGCTTACATTTCTGGGCCGTCTTGGACCATAGGAATAACACGTATGAATTTTAAAAATGGACGTAGTTTCTCTTTAAACAGAACTACTCATTTGGCTCGCTTGCTTGCTTGGCTGCTGTTTTTTGTGCTTGAGTGTCATCAGACAAAAAACTGCCTCTTACAAGAACTAAGGAGGTAGGGTGTTGGATTTATTTGCATATTCTTTGTGGTTGCACGCTATGCTCAGTACTTTGCCCAGTGCTGACTGAAGTTACTTAAGAGGGATGTGAGCTCCGTTGCTCTGCAAGTGTTTGTTGGTGCTTTCAGTTTTGGCTGTCTGGATGAGTTGTGCTGCTTTATTTTCATCAGGATGCCTGAATGTCTAGCAAACACTTAAGGCTGCAACTAATAATTATTTTGTTTTGAATGTTGTTGATCCCGAAGCACCCCTCTTAAAGGTGACAAGACATTGTATTTCCATGCTTCTGTCCTTATAAACAAACATAATGTCAGATTAGATTGAAAAAATAAAATAATATTATAATAATAGTGTAACATCATCTGCAAAATGTTGGAGCCTTAAAAGGTTTGGCTTTTTTTCTTGAAATACCAAAATGGCTGCCAATTATTTTCTGTCAATTGTCTGATTGATCAGTGGACTTGTAGTTGCAGTTCTAAAAGTCAGTAGTTTCCACCTCTGACATTTACATTTGTAAAACATTTTGGGGCAGCTACCATGGCTTATAAAAAAAAACAGTGACTGAAAATGAAAAAATGACAGGCCCTAAGCTTGACTGGTTTTCTGAGTCACCTCTCATTAAAACTAAGGGAGGTTCAGTATTTCCTGTCAGGGTTACATGTTATTGAGGCAGCTGCTCGCACACTGTGTTAACTGACTAAGCTCCATACAGAAGCTGTAAGATGCATGTTTGCTTTGGGAATTTGGGGGAATGTGACCAGTTTGGCTGACCTTAAAACGTTACTCTTGACTGCACATGATTAAAGTCTCTTTCACACAAAGTTCCCAATAACCTTTCAGGCACCACTTGTGATTTTCACTGTTCACACACACACTACATTCAGGAATTTTTCTGTCTCGCTTCCATCTTAAATTTTTAGCTATGCTGTAGCAGCTCTGGGGGGCTGATGCTTTGCAGGTATAATGTTTATCATAGTCAGTACTTTAGTTTAGCATGTTAGCATGCTAACATTTTCTCATACATCTGCTAGGAACCATAAACATCTGTACTAATTTTTTGCCAGACTCTTCAGTACATGTTGAGATATTTCAACCAGGTCCTACTTCGAAGTCGTCGAAAACCAGCGCTTGGTCAGTGACTTCTGATGTCAGACACTGACGGAAAAAGCAGTCCTGTCACTTCAGCATGATACGCGTCAGGGGAAAACGTGGCGAGACAACAATGTTAGTTAAGGGGGCTAAAGTCAGAGTATGGGTCAAACAACCATCGAATATCACCCTGTTCTTTTTTCCTAAACCCAACCATGTGTGTTTGTTGTTGAAGGAAAAAACGTAAATTTGCGGTGCTGTACCAACGTAGTGCGTTTATTTTGAAAGAGACTATACAAACTACATTCTCTGTGAAAATGGAAGTGTAATTTGAAAACAGACAATGCATGTAACAGGAAGAACTTGACACGGCATCCCAGAATGTCAACACACCCAGGGTACCTTGCACGACATATCTCGATAACACCAAACGGTGATATGTGACAAGGTCAAAGTGAGAATGTGTTGGATATTTTATAGAATTAGCAAAAAATAGGAAAAATTATCTGGGTACCATGAATGTCTAAACAAAATTCACTGCAATCATCCAATAGTTGTTGAGATATTTAAAGGACCAGTAGGTCCTGTAGGATTTAGTGGCATCTAGTGGTGAGGTTGCAGAACTCAAACTTGTCTTGGTGCTAAGCATGTAGAAGAACTATGGTGGTCAACACTAAAATGCGAATGGCCCTGAGCCAGTGTTTGATTTGTCCGTTCTGGGCTACTGTAGAACAACATGGCAGCTTCTTGGAAGAGGACTGGCTACGTACATAGATATAAACAGCTCATTCTAAGGTAATAAAACACAAGGATTATTATCTTAAGGTAATTATACACTATTGAAAGCATAGTTCAGAATTTTATACACCATTTCTGCCAAGAGATGCCCCTACATCCTACATGCCAAAGTGTTGGATTGACAGACTAATTGGATGACACACAGACACTCTCAAGCTGCTGGCTGCTAGCATGGCTCAACACACGTTCACAAACAAAATGATAAAGTTATCAAGACAAGAAAATTCACTCTGAAGTATCCATCCATCCATCCATCCATCCATTTTTCATCCGCTTATCCGGGGCCGGGTCGTGGGAGCAGCAGGCTGAGCAAAGCACCCCAGACATCCCTCTCTCCAGCAACACTTTCCAGCTCCTCCTTGGGGACGCCGAGGCGTTCCCAGGCCAGACGAGATATGTAATCCCTCCAGCGTGTTCTGGGTCTGCCCCGGAGCCTCCTACCAGTGGGACGTGCCCAGAACACCTCCAGTGGGAGGCGGCCAGGAGGATCCTGATCAGATGCCCGAGTCACCTCAACTGACCCCTTTTCGACGCGAAGGAGCAGCTGCTCTACTCCAAGCTCCCTCCGGATGTCCGAGCTCCTCACCCTGTCTCTAAGGCTGAGCCCAGACTCCCCACGGAGGAAACTCATTTCCACCGCTTGTATCCGCGATCTCATTCTTTCGGTCACTACCCAGAGTTCATGACCATAGGTGAGAGCTGGGACGTAGATGGACCAGTAAACGAACTGTCCTTGCTTTTGTGTGTGCTCTGTGACTACCATACTAATTAAAATTGCATCCTTGTGCATCCATTAATTGATCCAAGAATAGAAGGCGTTGTCTTTGGCATTATTTTTCCTTTTCACATTGTTCTGTTCGACACCTCAAGATATAGTCTGTTCAATTTATGCTGCAATTTATGCTATACGTTGAAACTTCACATTTCAACAACGCTGTGGTTAGCATGTGGTTAGATTTAGGCTGCTTATGGTCATGGATGGATTACTGAAAGGGCCTATCGGCACAGGCCCAGGGATCCAAGTGTCAGGAGGGTCCCCTCTGGCCTTCACTTGCAAAAAGTTAAATGTCAAATTAACACATACTGACCAGGAAAAGACTCAAAATGACCAAAAAGAGACATTACATGCCACAAAGGGATTAAAAGGAACTGCCAAGAGACACAAAAACTACAAAACTGGGCAAAACAGCCACAAAGAGACAAAAATATGACTACAAGATGACCACAAAAAGAGACAATGATGCCCAATGAGTGAAAAGAGATGCAAAACCACCACAAAGTCTGGGTGTCTTTCTCCTGTGTAGGAGAGGTGGTGGACCCTTCACACATCTGTGCCCAGGGGTCCATTGTCTCATAATCCACCCATGTTTATGGTTAGGAAACAAAAAGCAGCAGTGTCTCACTTTTCGGGCCTAAAAACCTGCTGGAAACACAACAATGGCTCGCCAAATCATGACCGGTTTCGTTGCTTGTTTGTCTTAAATAGTGAGCTGCAGCTTGGCAGGCATTTTGCCTTGGTGACACACCATCCACCATCCTCTTCAGCTCCTGATGACAAAGTCAGCTCAAACACTATGTCATGTTAGAAACTTAAATATCCATTTTATTTTAAAGTCTTGTCAGACAGCTTGTATAACAACATTTAACATTTGAGAACATTTGCTGCTTTTCTAAATGAAAAGAAAGGCACCACAAAAAAAGTATTGATACTGAAACTGAGCTATTGTTTTGGTATGAGTATCGAAAAATGTCAAACAAAACCAAGCCCTAGTTCTGTTAACAATTTGGTATCACATGAGTGTTTGTTGTTTTCCCGCAAATCGTCTCAAAAGCCTCCAGATGTATCTTTCACCCCGCAAATGTTCAGGTGAACAACACTGCGTCATTCGTCCCTAAAAATGGCACACAGCGTGAATGAAACAGGATTTTAATGTTAAAAGTGTGGGCTGTTCAGAGTTATTTTGGTTTCAACGTTACAGTGCTCTTCCCCTTATTTGCCTGTGTGGTGACAGACAGCACACTCACTGGTGCAGACACTTCTTCTCTGGTTCACAACACCTTCATGCCTGCAGAGAGACGTAGACGAACGTTTGGACGGCAGCATTTGAAATAGCTTTTTTCTTCTTCTGCATGTCATCATGCGCTGGTTACTGGCTGGATGCTGTGGACTCGCTTTGATCAGTATCTCAGGTAAATATAAACTCTTAATGCAATATGATCAATTTGATAAGTGACTGAAAAATGAGAATGATGCAAAAAACAACAACAGTCTTGGTGTTTATATTAACATTTGTGAAACGCTGAATGTTAGTGCAGCACTTAAATTAGACTAATTGTTTGGTAATGCTTTTCGTAGTTATTTAATGGTACTTTTTATGACTGTTTAACCATGGATACAATGCATACAAGTGTTTTGCATGTTATTTTTGACTCCACAGTACCATTACTTCCTGGCCATCTGGCGGGAAAGAGGAAGTTGTCCTCTGAGACAAAGACTTATTATTTTAATATACTGCTTATACGAGAAAGATAATGGAGTAAACATTAAAAACAAACCATCACATACAGACTTAAATAGACTTAAACAACAAAATCACCACAACTTTAATGTATACAGTGATGCAGCTTTAGGTTGGATTAACCAATGCATTAAAGAGTTAGAATACATACCTTGTGAATACTATTTTTTACCCTGTTCTATGTAAAGCATCTTTGACTCTGTTATTACCAGAGATGGGGACTCGTGTCACATGACTTGACTCGAGTCGCAAATATGATGACTTGAGACTTGCTTGACGTACGTTGATAAAAGACTCGACTTGACTTTGACTTTGTATTCATGACTTGAGACTTGACTTTGACTTGAGACAGATGACTCGAAAGGACTTTGCTTTAATTCAATATTAAAGGCACGCTAAGCGCCGTTGGGCGTCACTTCTGTTTACGTTCAACAATGTTATCAAACACAACAGAGCTAGCTCGACTCTCCCCCCTCCTCCCCTCGTCCTCTGTGACTCTGTCATGAACAAGAGATACCTGCTAGTTACCCTGGATTTGCACACCTGTTAGTGCACCCAACATGAAAATTCAGCCATTATCCACTCACCCTCATGCCGAGGGAGGCTCAGGTGAAGTTTTAGAGTCCTCACAACACTTGAGGAGATCCAAGGGGAGAGGAGGTAGCAACACAACTCCACCTAATGGAGGCTGATGGCGCGCCAGATTCAAATGTCCAAAAACACATAAATGAAACCACAAAATATCTCCATACTGCTCATCCGTAGTGATCCAAGTGTCCTCAAGCCCTGACATAAAAAGTTGTTTGGAAAAACATCATTTGAACTCTGTTTTTAGCCTCACTGTAGCCTGTAGCTCTAACTTCCTCTCTGTACACCGCATTCACGTGTGCGCGCTTGCGCGAGACCGTGCAACATGGGCACCGCGTTCATGTGTGTGTGCTTGCTTTCGCTGTTCTCGTGCTGGCTGGGTGGTGCAGCCTGAACCCAAATGTTTTTGTTGCCATTTGCGGAGCCTGGGCTGCCTACAGAGACCGGACTTTTTCACAGCATATTGTAGCTAGCATGTAGCTAGCGGATTGTGAGGAGATGTTTGCTGTATGTGACATATGACTTGACTTGTGACTTGCTTGACCTGAGCAATGACTCGACTTAACTTGCTTGACTTATAGCAGGGACTTGACTTGTTTGATTCTCACCACAACTAACTTGGGACTTGCTTGAGACTTGAAGGTAAAGACTTGAGACTTGCTTGTGACTTGCACATGTGTGACTTTCCCCCATGTCTGGTTATTACTAGTATTATTGCATTTATGAATGATTAAGGGCGGGGCTGCTTCGAGTGACAGGCTGCCTGCCAAAAGTGTCCTCAGCTTCTAAGCCAGATCCACCCCTTCGCTCCTTCACAGCTCCACGCTCTTGTTCAAATTTGGTCGCTTCTGGCTCCAAAAAAGCAAGATGGCGAAAACTGAAATGCCAGACTTGAGGCTTTAAAATGGGAGTCGACGAACCAGTGGGTGACGTCATGGTAGCTACATCCATTATCTTATTCAGTCCACGATAAAAAAAGCTTGTTTATATATTTAAATATTTAAATAAGTGTAATGGGAGAATACCCTGGAGCCTCTGACAGAAGTCTTGGCTGGAAAAGCCCTGAATGTCCTTAGATCCTAGAAACACCCCTGCATACACCTGGCCTATGCTGCGACTAGATTGCAAGTGACCCGCGAACATGTCAAGTTTGTAAAAAACGAACTTTATTTCTAAGAACGGTGAATTTCTGGCACAGAGTTTTTATTGTGAAGTGCCGTTTCCTGCTGTAGAGTGAGTGAGAGAACAGACAGCTACTTGACAGAGACAGTGAACTAGCTCGACAACATGGCCAAACGTATGACACTGAATATGTCAAACTGTGGAGGAAGAATCTGGACCCCGTGGCTGGACCAGTAGGGAACCACTGGATCAGTCAATTGATAGAATATGATACATAAAACGATTTCAGTAACCAATGAGGTCATTTATCAAGCAAAAATCTGCTTGTTCCAGCTTCTCAAATGTAAAGACTGGCTGCTCTCTGTTTTTATATGATTGTAAGCTGAATATTTGGAATTTTAATTTGATAAAATAATGAATCTATTCATCGAAAAAACAATCAGATTACTCAAAATCAGAATAATCATTAGTTGCAGCCCTAAGTTCATCAACTCATCATTTAAGGATGTTTATTGCCATCATGTCAGGCAGTAAAAAGGACTGTTTTGTATAAATGTAGGTGTAGGACGAGGATATTAGAGTTAACAAACACAATAAAATAAAAAGAGACTTTGAATAGAGTCAACTGGGGAAATTAAAACAGGGAACAGTGACTGAGAACGCCCTGACACCCAAGGTTCAAGTCTTGGCCCTGGGGATTTCGAGGAAGTTAACTTCAGCATTAGCGTTAAGCCATAAAAAAAATGTAAAAGGATGAGTTATATAAAGACTCACCCCCTGTACAGTTGTCACATATTATAGATTAGCTATAGAGACCAAAACTGTTTTTTGTATCAGACTGTAAACAATTTATTTCCACTGTAAAGTTGGGCATTTTAACATTGGGGTCTATGGGGACTGACTCACTTCCGGAGCCAGCCTTATGCACTCTGGCACCTTATTTACATTAAAATTACAGGAACAAAATCCCAGTGTGTGTTAATTTGTTTTCATCATGAGTTAGAAAATGGTCTGTAGGCCACCCAGCACCCTGACACAGTCAAGATTTGGCTCATGGGCCTGAATTGCTGGTCCATGATAACTCCGTGTTGCCTTAACCTAAAATAATTGTTTGGTGTTTAGAGCTGACATGATTAGCTGAATCATTTATTTTACAGAAAAAGCATTAATTTAGGTCTGAACATTCTCTAATCGCAGGTTCTCAGATAGAAAAAGAATTTGCTGCTTCTCTGTTTTATGTCTTTATAAAGTTTATATTTTTGAGTTTTTCACTTTTGTTGGACAAAATAATAAAAATGGGCTCTGGGAACTTGTTAAAGCATTTGAAAAAAATAACAACTCGCTAATCAGTTGCAACTAGAGCTGCAATAATTAATCAATAGACAAGGTCATCAACAGAAAATTTAAATATGTTGATCCTCGAATAATTGTTTTAGTAATTGTTTTAAGCTGTTGTTTCGTTCTTCTTAAACGTGAGAATTTGATGCTTTTCATTGTCATACATGATAATAAAGTGAATAGCTTTGGATTGTTGGTCAGATACCATTTGAAGATGTCACCATGGGTCCTGGGGAATTTACAGAGCATGTTTCACTCTATTATACGATCAATCAGTTAGAAAAAATAATTGGCAGATTAACTGATTATGAAAATAATTGTTAGTTGCTGGCAGCCCTAGGTGCAACCTTAATGACTGCAGTGTAAACAATTAGAAGTCTCTGCATACTTCCTACTTTCAGTGTCAATTGCCAGTTGTTATGTCAATATTCTGTTTAATTCATCCATCATCATTTGTAAGATTATGACCATGATAATAGAGACTTTATCTCTGCCAAAGCAGAACTCTTGAAAGAGTTTTCTATCCTCTTCACATTACGACATTTGTCTTCTTGGTATTAAATGTGAAGTCAAAGCCAGGATCATGTCGGAGGCAGTGTACTTACCAACAGCTGCAGGGACGAAATACAGCCACATCATCTGCATACATGTTTGTCTCAAGAGATTTAAAGAAACTGCTGCTGTAACTGTGTCACAATATCCCTCTACCTTCTTTTGTCTGCTCAGTGGCCTCAGACTCTCCCAAACTGATCATCCAGAAGCCCCGGTTCTATGGTGTGCCAGTCGGACGCAACTTGGGCATTTACTGTGTGCCCGCCTTTGGGACTGTTCGGCTAGTCAGCGTAGAGTGGTACAAGGCTGATGAGTATGACGCGCCTGAAAAAAGAAGCAAGTTAATGACAGAAAACAATAAGTTTCACTATAGTAACACCACTGTGAAGCAAATGGCCTTCCTCCAAATCCATAAGGTGAACATAAATGACAGCGGACTGTACTTCTGCAAGATAAACAATGAATGGGGACCTGGGACTGCGGTTCAAGTTGCCAGTAAGTGGCTGGGACAACAAATATCTTGTGCAGACACACAGACACATTATGCAAAGATGATTTACAGAGGTCTGTACCAGCTCACACCTTTCCTCTCACAGGACCCCTTAATGAGAAAGAGGCTCTGCACAGGACCAGGATGAAGGATGGGCTCATCATTCTCCAGGGCCTGGTGTTGGCTGTGTGTGTTGCTGCTCTACTGCTACGCAAACAACGTTTGGTGAGGAACAAGGCCCCCAAAATAAATCTGTGATCACCAGAGTGCACTGCTGAGTTTAGCTGAATTAGATGGAATAGATGAGACATACTTTTTATCGAACTTAAGCTCTTTAGAATAAAACAGATATCCAACACTTTAAACATGTTTCCAGGTCACAGCCAAAACAAAGGCCTACCTGCAGCTAATCCAACTAATGATTATGTTCATACATTTGTTGATAAAGATTAGCTTTTAATCATAAACAAGTTCCTAAAGGCCAAAGTGATGTCTTAACATTGCTTGTTTTGTTTCACCAAAAGTCCAAAAGGCCAAAACATTCAATTTACAGTTTCATAAAATGAAGAAAAGCAACAAGTCCTCTGGTTTGAGAAAACAGTAATGAAGCAATTTCTGGAAAACTGTGAGGAGCATTTTTCACAATTTTTCACAGTTTATAGACACAACAAATAGTCAATCGTGAACAACTGGCAGATGAATATATAATTAAAATAATCATTAGTTGCAGCCCTAATCAGATATCCAAATTGTTGTCAGTCCATTTTCTGCGGATCAACAAATTTTTTCAACAACTGTAGGATATTTAAAGTTGTTTTTCATTTGTGTGTCCTACTGCACAAAACAACAATGTTGTCAATAAATATCAGGACATGTCATTTTTAAAATCAACACCTTTTGCGACCCAGTCCTCCAGGGGGGTCTGGGGGGAATTCCAACCATTTTCTAACATTTTTAAACAAATATCTTTGATCAGGGGTTTTTAAAGTTTTGATGACTGAGTGCCATGTTAGAGAGCCAGCGTGTGATTTAGGGCCGTACAGGAAAATGGCATACACTATAGGTGTGTCTGAAATCACATACTTCCGTTAGTACACTTCCATGTAGTATACTATGTGCACTATGTACTCATTGGCGTAGTGTGCGACTCTCGACAGGATAGTGTTGTCTCAAACCAAACACAGCCGTTGTGCACTCACCAGAAATGACTACCGCAAATTAGCTAGTTAGCAAACTAGCATTAGCATTTGCGTTATCGTTCGTGGTACCAAATCATTACAGACTGCTAAAATAACCCAATAATCATACTGCTGGCTTATACCCGACAACATCTTGAGGGCGAGAAGTGTCCGTAGTTCCACACTCAACTTCTTGACCATTTTGAGTGTACCATGCTGGTACTCATAGTGCACTGCATTTTTACATACTTCTCAGTGTGAACGCACTTATGCACTCAAAATATTAAGTCTAAGTACAGAAGTACGCGATTTGAGACACAGCATAAGACTTTTTTATAACTTAATGGTAAATGGACTGCACTTGTACTGTATAACGCTTTTCTAGTCTGCCGACCACTCAAAACTCTGTGCAACTACATGTCACATTCACCCATTCACACGCACATTCACACACTGGTGGCCGAGGCTACCATACAAGGTGCCACACGCTACTCAGTAACAGTTTACATGCTCACACACAATCAGGAGCAATCTGGGGCTCAGTATCTTGCCCCAGGATACTTCAAAATGTGGGCCTGAGGGGGTGTTGGTGGCTTAGTGGGTAGAGCAGGCACCCCATGTACAAGGCTGTTGCCGCAGCGGCCTGGGTTCAAATCCAGCCTGTGGCCCTTTGCTGCATGTCATCCCCCTCTCTCTCTCCGCCCTTCATGCTTACCTGTCCATTAAAGGAAAAATGTCCAAAAAAAATCTTTAAAAAAAAAACAAAAACATGGGCCTGAGGAGCTGGGGATCAAACCACCGATATTCCGATAGGTGGAAGACCCGCTCTACCTCTGAGCCACAACTGCCCCCTACTTACCCCATTATGATTTTTTTTTTTTGACATACTATATTATGACTTTATTATGACATTTGTTTTCACACACAGTCACTGGTCTCATATGAGCGGAGAAAATACCCACTAGCTGCTAGGCTAATTGATACAATGTAAAATGCCATAGGCTTGTGCTAATAACTTTAGCATGTTGTATTTGTGGGGAAAATGTGTCCCGATAAAGACAAGTGTTTGTCTGTGAATGCTGCGAGTTATAGTGAAGCTGATTTGTATACTTGTGTTTGAAATTGTCTCTATTAAGCCATGTTTAATGTGTGTTTCATGTGTGTTCAACTAAACTTCACAGCACTTCACAGAAACCCCACCGCACAATGTATAAAGCTGCCTTTAATTTGCATCAGTCTTGATAAGCTAACAGAGCTGCTCAAGCTGAAAGATAACACTTACCCAAATTAGTTCCATGTATGAACTTCTGAAAGCCCTTTTTTTTGACTAGACCCTGTGAAGGAAGCGCTCCAGTGCAGCTTCTACCAACAGCTTTTCAACAGTTTGCTTAAATGTCACCACAATTGCTACTGTAGCCTACTTCGATGCACTTTCTTGTCCTTTCTCTAATTTTAAAGGGGTGCATCATTTTCTTTTTACAGTTATCATCATGTGGGTATATGATGCAGGGTATGCCAGTGTAACAGGTGTTATTAAAATAATTAAAATTAAAATAGTGTAGCCATTTTTATCAATAGGTCTTGTCCTCTTGAACATGAACATCACACTTCAAGTCAGCCAGTCAGTTTATCATTGTTCGCTTTTAGTGTATTGTACAGTATACAGTGTGTTTATCAGTAGTTGGTACTAACTCTGTAACTGCTTTAACTTTTCTCCTTTTCATTTCTCCTTTTTATGAACAGTGGGAAAAGAGAGACAGCATATATGAGGAGCCTGAAACTGATCACATCTATGAGGTTTGTTAAAGTGTATTTTTTTTCTTACAGTAATATTAATCAAAGACAGATAGTGGTAGAAGTAATATTCAGATCCTTTACTTAAGTAAAAGTGCTAATACCACACTGTGGACACGTTACAAGTGAAAGTACTGCATTCAAAACTTCACTTAAGTAAAAGTACTATTATTATTACTATTATATATGATGCTTCTGGATTAATATCACTATTACATTAATATATATGTTGTACTATTAGATGTAGATGTTTAAGGTTGAGCTCATTTTAACTCCTTTATGTGCTGTTGGGTCGTTTAATCTACACAATGCCTCAGATTCTATAAGATCATCGCGCTGTCTGTTCTGTTTGAGAACCACATATCTCTAAAAAGTCAACTTTTTATCAAACATTTGGATCTTCAGCCTAGATTTAAACGTGTCTACACAAGGGGAGCTCTTAATTGAAAAGGTAAAGCTGTTCCAAAGCTTTCGTGAGGCAACTGGTCTGAGTATCTGAGAGGGCAGAGGAGCTCAGCACCCTGTTTTCATCTTTGTGACGCTGCATTTTCCAGCTGATCCAATAGGGTTTTTAAAAAGTTTACTTAGCTTAAGAAGTAGGAGAATTTTCTTAACACATGAAGGAGCACTTTGTCCTTCATTTTATCACAGACGTTCACAATTAACACATCTGGAGATACATGGTTTTCACTGGACAGGAAGGGGATGTACATTTGTAATCTAGGGGTGTCTACGCGTCCTTAAAAAGTCTTAAAGTGTCGTAAATGTTAAAACAATAAGGCCTTAAAAGTCATTGAATAGTCTTCAATTTGAATTTGTGAGGTCTGCTACAGACATTTAATCTAATGTCATTTATCCAATTTTAAATTTATTTCTGTGAAAATGAGTAAAGCCTTTCTATGCTAAAGTCCACATTTATAATGTTACAAATCTTTAAAAAACAAACAAAAAAAAATAGAATACTGCCATGTTGCCTCATACTTGCACTTACCTGCTGGCAAAATGTAGATTAACTTAACTCACTCTAATCACCATATTCCCACATAAAACTTACTCTGTATAAGATCACATATATGCTACTTGCCTGTAATGGTAACCTGCGATGCTTAATGAAGTAAAACCTGATTTATCCAAAAATATGTCCCAAATTTAGTTAAAAGGAGTCTTGAACGGGTCTTAAAAAGCATTAACTTTAACTGTCTGATACCTGTAGACATCCTGAATCTGCAAAGCGATTAAAGCTGTCAGACAAATGTGGAGTAGAAGTATAAAGTAATAAATAACAAAAAAAAGTGCCTTAAATTTGTACTCGAGTACAGTACTTGAGTGCTTCGTCACATTCCACCACTGTAGAAGGTACTTTTTGTTATATGTGGTCGTTGTATTTGTAAAGACACAGCTGTGTTTTTACACATGTAACAAACACCAGGAGGCACACAGTCGCCTCGCATCGCTAAGCTCATAACCACAATTTTATCTTGTTCTGTCAGTGCAGCTCTCAGTTTTTTTTTTTTTTTTTCCATTTATGAATATGAACACAGCTTATATGCTCTTTGGAGGAACCACAAGTTTGCTGAACTTTTGTTTGCTTTTTTTAAATTGAATTTATTTTTTAGCCTATTTTTTTATATGAAAGGGACAATGCAGTTTAACATATTTCAGAGTTTAGAGCTGATGCTAATTTTCATCTCTTGTCCCTAGTTGGGCTTTTACATGTAGATCTAAGATGTTATTAAAAATATACAGTTTAAAACATCATGCAACCACTATACACTAAGAATAATGTCACCATAACTTTGGAAAACAGCATTTGTGGGTTGGACATAGATTTTAATTGCTTTAAAGCCACAGTGTGTAGGAATTTCTCCCATCTAACGCTGAAATCATATATTGCATTCAAACAGATGGCGCACTCTAGCGCCTCACTGTTTCAAACACGTATTGCAACAACTGTAGCCGCTGTGTACCAAAAAGCTATGATAACACTGATGAAACCATGTCATCTGATACTTCATGGAGTATTCGTTCAGGCTCCTACACAGACACATGCGACGCGAGTTGACAAACCCCCTACTCACTATGCTGGCTGTGTGTACAACGTAGGACTGTTGGGGCGGATGTAAATTGAAACAAACCAATCACGTCTTGTCCTTTGACAACTGACAAGTGGCTCAACCTCACACACCTCATCCCTCTCCTCACATTACTGCGCCACTAACAGCTGTTAGTGGCCAGCGGCACTACTGCCGCATAACAAAGTCCCACTCTTTGAGCATAATGCAGGATCATGTATTATGCAGCATCACGGGAGACGGAATCCTTGTCGCCAAGAAAGTGCAAAAGGGAATCAAAAAGGCAGCGTGACCGGCGAATTCAAAAAACAAGGGTCAGCATCGGGGTTGCCTTTCCCAGGTGGAGAGAGCTGCTGAAGGAGAAAGGTAATACAATCACAGGCCAGCGCTAACAGCGGCTAACAGCAAACAGCGGCGCAGTGATGCGAGGAGAGGGATGAGGCTGTTAGCGACTGGCCGCTAACAGCGGCTAACAGCCAACAGCGGCGCTGGCCTGTGATTGCATTACCATTCTCCCTCAGCAGCTCTCTCTACCTGGGAAAGGCTACCCCGATGTGGGCCTTTGTTTTTTTAATTCGCCAGTCACGCTGCCTTTTTGATTCCCTTTTGCACTTTCTTGGCGACAAGGATTCCGTCTCCCATGATGCTGCATATGCATGATCCTGCATTATGCTCAAAGAGTGGGACTTTGTTTCATATTTGCCAGGGTAGTAGCGAAGCGCCTCTTGCTTCTCTCCTTCGGCTCCTCAGTCACGCAGTGCTGGCCTGGCTCTCAACGAAAACGCCAAAGGCGGTGCTGTATGTCCCTTGCTGGCGGGTGTAGTCTCAAGATGGCGAAACGTAGTGGAACCCCACAGACGACTTACCCGCACAATGTACAAACAAATCCGAAATTCTCCTTTTACGAGAATAAGTCAGATTATTGGTGGAGGTAATAGTACACCAGTGATGACATATTTATGAATGCAGACATCAATTTTTACTACTTAGGTATGATAATTACTTAATTGTGAGCACAGTTTCTTTGTAGGCCATTTTAAAACTGCAATTTTCAAGTGATATAAGAGTCAGGAGTGTCATTACAAATTATATGAAAAATATTTAAATGTCAGTTGCTCTGCTGTGACATTTAGCAGCTGCATATCTTTATCTTCTGCCTGAATCACTGACTATGCAAAAAAACTTATTTTCATCTTTCAGGGTTTGGCGATTGAGACATGTGGAGGAGGTCTGTATGAGGAACTCTCTGTGTACGCCGAGGCTGAAGTAGCTGAGGCCCCGTGGGAGTAAGACATCCACACAATAACGTACGAGGTCTTGGTTTTAAATGTACATATCATGTGTTGTTAGGAGTCCTCAGTGGGCCCTGCTCAGATGTGGAGATGTGTCATTTTCCTCTAGTACAGTGTTTGTTTATAAACGTGCAACATGTTACTTCTAAAATGCTTGCTACATACGCAGCCCGTTCTCCAGAATAAAATGTTGACATTGTGCATCTCTGAAAACCATGTATATGTTACACTGCCACATTTCATACACATTAGATTAATATCTCTTAAGTGATGTGGTCCAGATTGCGTCTATATGAGATAAGTGTCTCATCTGGAGGAGGAGGGGATGGCGGATGGCATGAGGCCTCCATGAGACACCTCAGTGAGAAGGCTGTTCGAGACCAACAAACAACAAAACTCATTTTTTTACAACACATTGGGACATTTCCAGCTGTGTTGTTTGCGACAAAACTGGGTGTTTTTAGCAAGACGTCAGGAAATTCCAGCCGTGTTTGTTGCACCAAAATTGAGTTTATCATTACAACTTTACATGACCAGCCGTGTTTGTCGTTTCCAGACGTTTGTTGCACCAAAACCGGGTATTTTTATTCATGCATTGGGACATTTTCATGCATGTTTGATGCACCAAAACAGGTAATTTTAATGAGATGTTTGATGTAAAGAAAACGAAGTATTTTTAACGGAAGGCAGAACATTGCCAAGTATTTTTAATTTGAAGTCAGGACATTTCCAGCCATGTTTGTTGCACCAAAACCGGGTCTTTTTAATTTGAAGTCAGGACATTTCTAGCCATGTTTGTTGCACTAAAACCAGGTCTTTTTAACAAGACATCGGGACATTTTCAGCTGTGTTTGATGCACCAACACCGGCTTTTTTTTAACATGTTTTTTTAACATGTTCTACTAAGACGTTGTGACATTTCCAGCCATGTTTGTTGCACCAAAACCAGGTCTTTTTAACAACACGTCAGGTCATTTCCAGCCATGTTTGTTGCACCAAAAGTTGGTATTTTTATTGGTGCGTCGGGACATTTTCAGCCGTGTTTGATGCACCAACGCCGGCTTTTTTTTAACATGTTGGAACATTTTCACCTATGGTATTTTTAACAACACGTCGAGGCATTTCCATTCATGTTTGTTGCCCTATAACCAGATATTTTTTAAGACACGCTGGGACATTTTGAGCCGCGTTTGTTGCCCCAACATCGAGTAATTTGTACATCACATCTTGACATTTTCAGCTGTGGTTGTTCCGCCAAATCGGGGTATTTTTACCAAGACGTTGTGACATTTCCAGCCATGTTTGTTGCACCATTGCCAGGTATTTTTAATTTGAAGTCGGGACATTTCCAGCCATGTTTGTTGCACCAAAACTGGGTCTTTTTAACAAGACGTCGGGACATTTCCAGCAGTGTTTGTTGCACCAAATGTGGCTATTTTTATTGGTGCATTGGGACACTTTCAGCCCTGTTTGATGCACCAACACCAGGTTTTTTTGACAAGTTGGAACATTTTCAGCCATGGTTGTTGCACAAAACCAGGTATTTTTAACAATGCGTCGAGGCATTTCCAGTCATGTTTGTCGCACCGTAACCAGGTATTTTTGACGACACGTTGGGACATTTTCAGCTGCGTTTGTTCCACCAACAATGGATATTTCTACGAGGCGTCAGGACATTGCCAGCCATGTTTGTTGCACCAAAGCTGCACATTTTTAATGAGATTTTGGGATATTTTCAGCCATATTTTTTACCAACATTACCTGGTATATTTAGTGATACGTCAAGGCATTTCCAGTCATGCTTGTCGCACCAGGTATTTTAAACGGTATGTCGGGACATTTCCAGCTGTGTTTGTTGTACCAAAATTGAATAATTTCAACATCACATCTTGACATTTTCAGCTGTGGTTGTTCACCAAAACCGCAAATTTTTATATATATCCAGACATTTCGAGCTATGTTTGTGCACCAAAACAGGTATTTTTAACGACACCTAGTGATACATCCAACTGTCACAACACCAGGTATTTTGAGCCTAAACATTGTCCTCTCCTCACCCGTACCAAGTGGATTTTGTGCTTAAACCTAGCAACACATTAACCACATGGTTGAAACATAAAGTTTTAACATATGTAACGTAGGCTTAAAAAGTAACGTGTCCTTGGTTGCAGAGATGGTTCATGCCAACATTTCTTCTGGCGACAGGGTTGATACGCGGCTGTTGATTTTATGCTATTTAGTAACACTGGAGTGAATTAATCAGATGTGATTTGAGGTCCACTGAAGTGTAAAGGAACCGTTCTACAGTTCAGACTCGACAGATTTCAGCTGACATTTTTGGTGCTTCAAGAGAATTTTTTAATATAAAAAGTGTTGTGTATGATTTCATAATGACTTCTCTGAGTTTGATGTCTGTTTTATCTTAATATGGTATCTGATATCTGTGTGTGCATCAGACACAATGTTTAATCCTGTTTGATTATATTAAATATGTGTGTCTTTTTTATGTATCAGGAATAAAAACAAACACATTTCCTTTTGCTGGTGAAAGTATTTTTTATTGTTTTTTTTTTTAAGGTAAAAATTACATAAATTAATACATAAATAAATAAGTAGAAAATAAGAAGTTGATCAACTATGTATTAATTTATAAAGATACTGGTTGTGCAGAATATCAACCGATCAATAAATACGTGAGCAAACAGCTCAGTATATATATCTCAAGGCAATTGAATCGAACGCAACTGGACTTCGTTTTGTCTTAGAAGACGTTTGACCTCTTATCCAAGAGGCTTCATCAGTTCATGCTTGTCTGACTAGGCTGGAACTAGTCTGACAACCTGGTGTGGAAAAACCCAGGTATTTAACCTCTGAGGAGGTCTTCACAAGGCCAATGATGTCATTGGTTCATTAGTGCTCCGACACGATTAACCATTCCACCCTCCTCTCCCGTCTTAAAACCTGTTACAACATCACTGGCACGGCTATCTCCTGGTTCAGATCATATCTCTCCAACAGACAACAATTCATCCATATCAATAACTGCACCTCCTCTACCGCTCCTCTGTCCCAAGGCGTCCCCCAGGGTTCTGTGCTTGGTCCTCTCCTTTTCATCCTCTATATCCTCCCGCTTGGTAACATCATCTGATGATATGGCCTCCATTTCCACTGCTATGCCAGCGACGTCCAGATCTACATCACCACCAAATCCATCACTGCAACAATCTGCTCCACACTTGAAAATCACCTCACTGAAATAAAATCCTGGATGCAAACTAACTTTCTACAACTCAACTGTGACAAATCAGACATGGTCCTAATCGGCCCCAGTTCCCTTACTAAAACCATCCATAATTTCAGCCTTAATGTTGCAAATTCTACACTTTCTCTATCTCCACATTTATGCAACCTCGGAGTCACTTTCAACAGCAGCCTTTCATTTGAACCGCACGTTAATCATATCACCAAAACCGCTTTCTTCCATCTAAAAAACATAGCTTGGCTCTGCCCCTCACTCACCTTCTCCACTGCAGAAACTCTGATTCACGCATTCATAACATCCAGACTCGACTACTGCAATAGCATTCTGTATGGTTCATCTNTGCAGAAACTCTGATTCACGCATTCATAACATCCAGACTCGACTACTGCAATAGCATTCTGTATGGTTCATCTTCTAAAGTCCTCAACAAACTACAATACATCCAGAATTCTGCTGCCCGTCTCATCATCCAGTCTCACTCCCGCGACCATATCAGGCCTGTCCTCCACTGGCTCCCAATTCCTCAACGCATTCAGTTCAAAGTCCTTCTCCTCACCTTCAAAGCCCTCCATAACCAAGCCCCATCTTACCTCCTGACCTGTTGCACCATCACACCCCCTCCTGCAGTCTCCGCTCCTCTGATGCAAATCTCCTCTCTCTCCCACACAGGACCAAGCACAAAACCTGGGGGGACAAAGCCTTCTCCATTGCTGCCCCCTCCCTCTGGAATTCTGTCCCCCAACACATCCATAACTGTACAGATTTAAACTCCATCAAATCTTTGATCAAAATCCATCTGTTCAGGGTTGCATTCAGTCCCAATTCCTTCTCTTAACTGTGTTTTGCTGCTCTTATGTTGTTTTTATCTTGTTTTTTCTGTTTTTGTAAAGTGTATTTGAGTGTTTTGAAAAGCGCCATACAAATAGAATGTATTATTATTATTATTATTGTTGTTATTATTAAGGTGTGCTCCAAAGGTGTCATTATTGGCCAAAAGTACTTTGTAAAGGTTTTCAGCCTCCATCATTCATCCCACCCTGAGACCCCTGGTGTATAAATTTCTATTTTGGAGTCACAAAATTCGCACTATGTTTTTCCACCAGAGTAAAAACAACAAACACATGTCTATTTGCGGGAAGAAATATTATTTTTGTTGACTACAGTAGAAAAAAAACAAAATCTAAATTTTTTCTCAGTGCAAATTTAAGAAATAAATATGTCGATCAATATAGGATCAATAAATACATTAATAAATAGATAAATAAATAAATAAATAAATAAATGTGACAGACAGATGTTGGTTAGATAAAAGCAGCTGGTCGACTCTCTTCAGATGGCTTTTCATTTCCCTCCTGATCAGCTCCCAGGCTTCAGCACTGTGGCCCTGCACACAGAAGAATATCATCAGCATTCAGACATGATAAATACTATTGATTGATTGATTGATTGATTGATTGATACATTGATAGGTAGACTTACCATTTGCTCCAGAACATGGCTTGAGAGTCTCTTGAAGTACATGTGCAGCTTCTTGCTCTCCTTGTGGTGCACAGTCTAAATGAAGTTAGAGTAAAACAATGATTAAAACCATCTTCACTACACAGTCACAGTGGATCTGTTAACTCTGCACATGTACTTAACAACATTTAGTCAAACAGACATCAGTGATTCATGTCTTTAGGTTTATAAATCTGAAGTTAATCCACAGTGAGACTCACACAGGAGCGAAGGCCGACAGCCTGCCTGCTTACAACACTGAGAAAGTTCTCCTCTGTGTTCTCCTCCCATGATGCAGAGCTGTAACCCCCCTCAAGCAGGGCCACCATCTCCTCCAGAATCTGAACTGTGAAAGCAACTTTGTCCTCAGCCTGGAGGAAGAACATTCATCATGAATTACAACAGGGACAGATTTATGTCACTTTATAACAGTTGTGTGTCTCTTTCATGTTCATTAGCAAAGCTGAGTGTGACTTACTGATGCTTTGGACGCCTGGCTGTACAGATGATTTGGGAAGGACACAGTGTCGTCCACTTCAGCATCCTCAGTGCTGTTAGTGGAGTTACTAGCCTGCATCACACACACACACACACATCATGAAGTAAAGAGACAGTAACGTCACTGACTGACTTTTAACAGCAGCAGCAACAGAAGAAGTGCACTTACCATGGTGTCCAGATTTTAGACAAGAAATTGTCTTTATCAGGTTAATCTTACTGCAGTCTGCAGCTCTTTATGCGATGTGAATTACGTGTTAAAACGAACATTCTGTTTATTAGAGCTGCCATCTGTAGTATAATATAAAGCATAATTTATATATAATTCATGAATGAGTCTGTGACTGCGTGTGTTCACATACCGAGCATGCCGCAGGAGGAAAGCGCTTCCCTCGAAGTGAAACTGGAAATGGCTGCGGCCTGCGTTACGTGACATGTGACGTCCTCACGCTGCTATGTGAAAATGACAATCTGGTCAATGTTCGATTACCTGCAATCTGTTTATCTATTTATTCACTTTGTTTTATTACTATTAATTATTTTATGAATTACTTCTTCCAGCAAATGCAAATGTGTATTATTTGTATTCCAATTAATGGCGAAGATTTGTCTTTTTACTGAGTACAAATCTATAACATAAAGGAACATGTGTTTCTACTGTATGAGATTAAATATTACAGAATTATTAAAATAAGATTATTGATCCCACACCGGGGAAATTCACATGACACAGCAGCTCAAATATCAGCAGGTTGAATGGCAACAGAATAATTACAAGATAAAATAAAAAAACATATATGTCAGAATCAGGAAAATATAAAATATAAAGTACTAAAATTAGACACAACTATACACGTACTATTATAAGTCATTAAAAGAATGCAACAGAGGGGTTATCTTTGGTTGAACAAACTTTTTATGACTATAAGTGACACTTTTTAATGGAAGTTTGTGTAAAATGTAAAATAAAGTTGAGATTGAAGCTGCAACCCTACTGGAAACATTTTATTTATTAAATTGTAGTTTGTGTAAAAAGTCTCTTTGTTGTAAAAAATAACTAAAATAAAGTTGGGATTCAATATTGTATAATAACCGCCAATTTTAATATCACAGTACACTTTCAAACTGGTGTACCGCTGCAACACTAGTGTCTATAGCCTTGTAATAACTCTCAAAATACTTACACCGACTGAAAGTACAAGATAGAGCTGGTGTTAAATATCCAACTCAGATAAAACTGACTAAACAAAACAAACATGTCTATATTACATCAGACAGTATGAATGAGCTGCTGCACTGGAATCAGTTGCATCACTTTGCTTGTGCCACATAGCTGCAGGTAGCCTACAGCATAGATTTCAAGGAGAAAACTGGGGACAAGCTCCCTTCAATATTTAGAACATTTTCATTTGTACCCCCCAATAAAACATAAAATAGAAGACTTTCATTTTGGAAAAAATATATATAATTACACTTTAAATCAACGCCACAAATTGATGCATAAAAATTTTCTAATGGAGTGTGTCTGGGGAGGATTTAATCCCCTGGAGGATCGAGCTAAGCCCTGAATGCCCTTAAATCCATATGATGAAAGATTTAAAACAGACTTTTATTATATCTGGCCTATATCTATATCTTTACATTAATGTATGTTTATTATCTGGCTCCCTGGTCTCCTGTCATTCTGCAAAGTGGCCCCTGGGCAAATCAAGTTTAGTATCCCTGGTTTGAGCCCTAGAAAACAAGAATTCAACCCTTGTTACTGATCATAATATTTATCATTAGTTTGGCCCTTTAATTTTTGTTCCCATTATCTGGTTCACATCTCTTGTCCTTTTGGGCTTTTTGGAAATAAAAAATAATACATGCAATGTATGAAACACAAATTACAATCAATTTACCATTAAAGAAATAAAAGCCCAGAGCAAAGGCAAACGATATTTGTCCAAACTCTGCAGCCACTTTATGAATCACAGGCCTGATGGATGGTTTATAGTCTGATTCTCACACTCAGACAGTGTGCTCTGATCTGTAGGAGAATCCCCTCCTCAGCAGGCTGTCCGGTTCTCACGTTAAAAGCCTCCATGTTCTAGTTAAAACAAGGCGAAATGTCACTGACCATTTCAAATGAAGGTGCGTCACAGCACGCGCCGCAGTCACGCAGCCGCTTTCATTTTCTCTGGATGGGAACTTCTCGTTTTATGGCAGCGAGTGGACACAGGTACAGAGCCTGCAGTCCTATATTGATTAATGACTAACGATGATGACGAGTCCGCACAGAATTATGATGCAATTCAGTTTGGGTGTTTTGTTTGTTTATTTGTTTATTCAAATACACACAGAATCGTGTTTAGGAGCGTGCAGACTGACTGCATCAAAAACATGAGATGAAATATGCAAAAAAAAAAAAGTGCATATTGACAAAACTGAATAAATAATTTAATGTAAAAAAGCCTAAAATCATAATTATGTTATTCTTATTAAAATAAAGTCATATGGCATTTAATTCAAGTCTACAATATTCTATTTGGCCTTTAAAAATCGCAAAAATATTCCTGAAATAATCCCATAATTCCCTAATATCGAATATTATCTTATACATTCTAATATTATTATTAGTTGTGTTTGTCATTATGTTGTTTGCATTTTCTACTGTTTTACAACACATGAGAGTTTTTAACGCGCGTGATATTTTCGCTTTGCTGTGATATTTGTTTGTGTTTATCGTGGGAGATTTTTTTAATTGAGGCGCTAATTCGAATCCGAAATATGTGTGTGACATTATACATGTATGTTGGTCTGTGTCGTGGTTAATTGTGACCTTTGAACCGTGTGAAAGCTGCAGTGATCCCCAGGTGATGGGAAAGTGAAAAAGGTGCGCCCTGCAGTATAAATGAGGCTCTGCGTCTCTGCTCCATCACAACAACTGGTTGACAGGAGAAATCACTATTTGCTCCATACAAAGAAAACTTGTAGCTTCTAAAGCAAAATGCTCAGCAGGATCTTGTTGGTGTTGCTGTCTCTCAGTCTGTACAGTGCAGGCTCCTCACTGAGCTGCAGATGGGTGGATCATAAATTCAGACAGCACAGTGAAGACTCTTTGGCTCTACTGGACACCATGGTAAGTGCACTTCTTCTGTTGCTGCTGCTGTTAAAAGTCAGTCAGTGACGTTACTGTCTCTTTACTTCATGATGTGTGT